CTCAAAGAACATAGATACGCCATAAGAAAAGCATCTAATTCAACGATATTGTCACAAATGGCGCAAGCGCAAGGCTCTGAGGTTAAATGGGATGAGGCAACAATCATCAAGCCTCTGTCTTCCCCAACTCTAGCAATGACGGCGGAGAAAATTGAAATATACAGAAGTAGGATAGGGGAAGGCTGTTTAAATGCGAGAGATGCGGAGAGCCTACCATCGGCATGGAAATATTTGGTAAAGAAATATACTAGAAACTTCGACCAGAATTAATCCACTGAAGATTTATGTTATTTCTGTTTTAATTAATTAATTAATTTATTTGTTTATATATTCTTCCGTTATTTTTGCCTGTAAAATTTTTTGATTTAAATATTTTTATGTTCTATTTATGGAACATTTGCGTTCCATTTTTTCGACCTGAAGATGGCCTATTAACTAGGCTGAAAACGTTTGTTTTTGCAAATTATATTTATTTCTCGGCAAAAAAAGGTGTTTTCGTTATTATGAAGTGTATAATATTAAATTATATAAACTTTTAAATTTAAACTTAATTCATTTATTAGTATATAAAAATCGACTTTTTTTTTACTAATAAAAAAAAATAACTCGGATAATCTAATACGTAATAAATTTCGTTTATTATATTAAAGCAGCGCCCCTTCTTGCGCCATCGTAAATTAATTTACGGAATTGTTAGTATCGAACAAGATGGTGAACAGAGAATGTTGTTACGAAAAGGGAGTGGTTACACAATTTCGCTCTCAGTGAAGTGGGTGAAATGTATATTTGTGTCAGGAATATATGGAAACTATTCTTAGGATATGACACATTAATATAAACACTTATTTCGAGTATTTTTGTGGTGATACTACCGAACAAGCCATCATCATGAAGAAACAGTTCCTGAGAGTGAAACAAATCGCTGATCAAACGTTTCTCAGGTAAATAGATTTGACCTACAAAGCACTTAGCCACTTTCTTTTCAAAGCTTGATGTTTCTATCGTATATAAAGTGATATGATGTTACCATTTTCATAATAATTTAATATAAAATATAAATGTATACGGATATATGAATGATTTCATCACACGTCAGATGACATATTTAAAGTTAAATAGAAATAACAGTAAAAGTATTTCAAATATATTTTCCTCCATCCAGAAATTATCATTATTATTATTAGAGAAAAGTCATTTTAATAATAATTTCTTCATGTGCTAAATTTGGCTGAGTTGTGTTAATGTATGATAAATGCTTACCTAATGTATCTAACATTAGATGAGATGACATAACAGCTGTATATCTGCGGTTATACCCTCATAATTATAAAATCATTAAAAACAATCATTTCGGGTTACCATATTTACATAAAGTTAGCTATTTACTATCAAGGATATTTATCTAGATTTTAAAATAGAATGATTACATATACAGTGTATATATATATATAGGAGATTAATAATTGATGAATATCATGGATAAAAATAATATGATGTAATGAATAATAACAAAATAATTTAGTTGTATGTTTACCCATTTATTCAATTTTTTTGACACTTCATTGCTTTTTTGTTAAATATTTTTATTAATTTTCAGTGTAGAAATTTAAAATTTTTATGAACGTAAAAAATTACTTGATTCCACTTGAATTTATTCTTTTGTTTAAAATGTACTCGAAATTCTCTTGAAAATATGTTCTAGATTATTGTAACCCGAATAAGTTTTTTTTTTTAGTAAAGAGAAAAATACTTGTTAATTTTACTTGTTGCTGATTTACTCAATAGATTCTTTTAAGTAATCCGTTAAATTTTAATTACTGGTAGTATTAAGTATTCAGTGTACTGAATAGTATACATTCTTTATTTCATAATCTTATTAATTAATGTTAATTTTTATATTATAAAATATTCATTAACATAATAAATGTTCTAGTTTTATAATTTCAATATATTTAGAAATTCAGATTTTAATTGTAAATGTGATATAAATGTGAACTATAAGTAAATTCAAATTTTAATTGATTTTTTTTTTATCTTAGTCCAAATGTTGGAAAAAAATCATTTAAATGTATGTTGTATTTTCTGTTTGAAATGTTAATGATCTCTCTTTTTTTTTATTAAAAATATAAAGCATTTTAAAATGTGTATATTTTTAATATAAACTGGAAATTAGCTTGGCCAATGGTATATTTTAATCTTATTAACAACTGGCATTTAGCCAACATTGTACCAAATATGTAACAGCATGGAATTGAGGGCTAACTAGCTATTGAAAATTTAAGTAAATGCAATATTTATACTAATTGAAATTTCATTATAAAAAAAATATTTAATTACAAAAAATTTTTAGTTTATAAAATATACAAAGCTTATTTATTTTTAGTGAGTTTTAAAAAATAAATAAGTAAAAAAAGTATTTGACTTTAAACATTTATTTGTAGAATTATTAAAGAGCTAGTTCCATATAAGATTATACCATCCATTCTTTTTTAGTGGTTTTTCCCATTTCTAGTATTCAAAATGATGATACTATTAACTAACTGAAAAGAAATCATGATTTATTTTATACATAAACTTAAAATTTTAATTTTAATGATTATTATTATTTTACCGTAAATAACATATAAATTAAACTCTTCTTTTGCCTTTTCCAATTTTTCTTCTTTTTAATCTCCTTCTCCTAGATTCAGTGCTTTTATGAATTTGATTGCCTGTCTGGTTTTTTCATTCTGCTAAGCAAGCTGCAATATAAATAACACATATAACAGTTTCTTTCAATAATGAATCTTTGAGTACGTGGTACAAACAATTAAAAATTAATATCTGCACTAACAGTAGCGTCCTGATTAACTGAGACCTGTTTTAACTAAGGCTCTGCATTATCTGAGTTCAATTGTTGAGTATTTTGTCAGTAAATGCAAGAAAACATAGAACAGTGCAGTTTCTTTAAATTGTGACCTGGCAATGTGCAGTATTTGAAATGAGGTTTAGAAATTTTAAAAAGAATTTATTCCAATGAATTTTCATGACAATTAAAAAGAATTTAATTGTATTGTCATGAAAATTCGTCGGAATAAATTATTTTTAAATAAACAGGTTTATATATACTGTATTGTGTATTTGTTGTGAAGTAAGTACAACTTTAAATAAAATTCAAAATTCTATTGTGTAATGTAAAGCTCATTATGTTCAATATGTGAGATTTGTGTTCAGCAATGCATTCAAATACAGTTTATTTGATAATTTACCAAATATTTTATGTTATCTGAGTTTTGATTATCCAAGGCACCCTTGATCCACATTACTTTGAATAATCAAAATTTACTGTGTTGATTATTATGTAGATGGCAACAATTATTTATTAAACATCAATATTAAAAGTCACTAATTTTTCTGTAAGAACTAGTATTAGTTTGCTAGATTGCATTTATTCATCTTCCTTTAGTTAACATATGTTTCCATTGAATACTACTCACTTGTCAGACTGACCTGACTGGTACAACATGGCAGAGCATGACAGAATAGGTGTTTTTGCCATTGTGTCCCAGAGTTGGAATCATACCAAAAATTCTATAGCCTTGAAAAAGGTTTCTTTGCTTTGCTTTCTCTTAGACATTTTCTTAGTCGTTGATACACCATTCTTCTAAATAAAAAATCCAGCAATGAGTTAGTTGTTCAACATTAGCCAACATTTTAACAAATATGTAACAGCATGGAATTGAGGGCTAACTAACTAATATTAACCCTCAACTATCATGGCAGCATTTGATGGCTCAATCTGTTATCATATTTTATTAAAAGACTTTTTATATTTTTAACTATTATAAAATGACAAAAAGTTTAATTTTGAGTGTAGGGATGGGTTTTATAAAAAAAGTGTAAATGCCAATAACTAGTAAAATCATGACTAAGTCTGACTCTACTGGAGATATACATGAACCCCTTTATATTTCCATCCCCTCAACCTTTAATCACCATAATTTAATAGCATCAATCCCAATATTATTCTGGAAAATAGCCTGATATTATTTGGCATTTGGTGTGGCTTTATAGCTTCAATCCCCCTAACAAACAAACCTCCCTGCAAATTTTCAGAAATTTTCAACAAAAAGCACAGAAGTTATTAAGCTTCAAAGAAGACAAACAAAAATCATTCCTCCCCACACACTAACATCCATACATACAAGGAAACCCCCAAATTTTTTTGCATTTTTTGATGTTTTTAGGTGTCCTGAGTCCAAAAATGTAAAAATGTGGGGAGGGTCATTTTTTGCTGGATTGCCATACTTTTTTCTGTTATATATAATAGCCAGGAAAGTAAAAATGGCAATGCCAAATTGTATGAAATAGTGCCATCTGATCAACAGTCAGACTTTGGATGCTATAATAAATTAATAACATTAATAAATAATATAAAAGAATATTGCTATAAATAATACAATGTATTATGAAGTAGCATCATCTGTAGAGAAAGAAAGACAACAAACACACAAATCCACAGATTGATATTATTATATTAATAATATCAATGCTTATCTTGTCAAACACTTATATTTAATAGTCATAGATGTGTTTCAAAATCATTTATTTTATCTTCAGTATGGAGTTTTTATCATCTTTATTTAAGCAGAGCATTAGCAAAACCTCTTCTATGTGGCTTACAGAATTGTGTTCATTCTCAAAATTTGATCGATCAATTTGGATAAACTTTTGTCATTTTCTATTAATGTCAATGAATCCAAAAATATAATATAAAAATGGGATTTATGACTTTGTTTTTGAGATACAGTGGGGTTAAAGTGATAAATGTTAGGTGCACTCAATTACACCAGGGAGCACAAACAGAATGGGTGACAAAAATGAACAAAACACAACAAAGCAATTTATTCTTCATTTAGCTTCTTGTTTGGATTCGTATCAGATTATTATTTCAGCAACCATATAATACTTATCCCCAAAGTTGTGATAAGTTTAGGAAAACAGCACTATATGGTTGCTGAAATAATAATCTGAAAGCAATTGCTGAGCAAATGTAAGGATCACCTATCTGTGCCTGGCAAGTGTAAAGATCATCTCTTCCATGTCTATCAAGTATAATTGATTACCTCTCTGTGGTTGACAAGTGTAAGTATTGTCTTTTCACATGACTAGATTGCTGTTTTTCTTCTGATGACATACACAAATCCATAGACACATAGCATTACATACACATTCAAGCATGTTAGTACTTGGGTTAGATGGCATGAAAGATAGTTTATATGTATTAATATTAATTTAAAAATTTTTAGTTACAAAAATGCAATGCTCCATCTCAATTCTATTGCAACACAACAAAGTTTTGCAATGACCCTGCAATAAAACAATCATAAAAAAAAAAAATTTTTTAAACTCTTTCTGCCCTGTGGGCACTAAGAGGGCCTCATTTAGCAAGCCCATTATGAATTTGGCCAGGTCCACAATGGGGTGGCCAGGTGGGGTGAGGGACAGGGAATGATATATCCAGTTGGATCACCCCCGAAAAATTCCTAGGAATTTTTCAACCCGTTCGGATTCGATCCTGGGTCCCCCCAGAGTGGTAGGCAGCCACTCAGCCATTTGGCCTGGCTTGCACATATATCCAATTTAAAAGAATATTTGATTAAAACTCAAATTCTTCACAAAACTGGATGGATAAATGAATCAAACACACACTAAAAAACCTTAAAATATCTACAGACCTGACTATAGATTGAAAATTTAAATCTAAAACAAATTGAAGGAAAATCTACTTAAGATAACCAAACTTGTTTAATTTCCAAAAAAGTTTTTGGCTTTTCTTATACCTTTATCAGTTCAAGAAAGTTTTACAAGAAATGCCTTTAGACAGTTTTTCAAACGTTGATATTTTGAAAACTAAACAATTGCAGTTATTAAACAGAATAATTTTAAAAATGTTGTTGAA